TGCAATCAAGTGTGGAGTCATTTAGCAGAGATTTTCTGCACTGTGTGAGCAGAGTTAAAAACTGTGCTCTCCTCCCCTGCCAAGAAGGGTGAAGCCTCTGGAGACTGAACCCCCTCATTCATGGCAAGGAACTGTGAATGTGGAGGAAAGCATCTGCTACTCCTGTCACTGTATCAGGAAACTCCGGTTACTGTCAGGGATGATTGCCTGCCCTGAGGCATGTGGAATTAGTGTATTGGTCTTAACACACCTGGTGTGGGATTCTTGCTTTTCTGATGGTATTTTTTTCATTTGGTCTCAAAAGTCTAAGGCCTTGGGATCCTTTGAACGACATTGCCCAATTTGAGAAGGATGGAATACTTCAGACAATGGAAAGACACTTATCTACAAGGATGTCAAACCACAAAACAACATGCATAAACAATCAAATTACACGGCACAAGGTAAAAAGCCTGTTTTGGGGAATATAGTATTCTTTAGGATTGTTTAAATACACAGCCCTCTTCTATGGCATTTTCATGTAAGCACAGCATAGGCTGAAAGGTTTGTTTTGGATAAATACAGCTCATGACTGTAGACCTGCAACATCATACCATCATTAACTCAAAATAATTATAATCATTGGTTGACACATTCTATCCATTTTGGCATTTTTCTTCCACCTAATCTTAGTGAAAATGACCCTTTAGTGGGTTTTGCACATGACTGAGCTGAACTTCACAGTTCAGCGGTTCCAAAGCAGAAAACTTCACATAGGTTTTGGAGTGCAGAATTGAGATCCTGCAACTTCAATTTCAGTCTTTGCCATCAGCCTTCATCACTTACTTTCTCTCAGACAAGACAAGAAACCTCTCTCCATCCTTTCCCTTAAACAGAGATGATACTTTCTTATCTCACCACTTTCATCTTTAGAGTGATATATGTCATTGATAACACACTTCTTAAATGTTGAACTGCTGAACTAGCTAAATATAACCCATATCACACTGAAAAACTTGTATCTTACTATGTATGTAGACTTTTCTTTTATAATACCTGAATCTGAATGTCTCTGAAGCATTGGGAAGTTGGGGTTTATAAACTGCTTTTCAGACCCTCTGGTGAGAAGTTTGAATCAATGTGTTTGGTTTACCCATCTAAGAGGTAGGGAGAAACTTTCTGAAGTGCATGAAGAAATGAGGCATAAAAATTCTGTGATATTTAAATCCTTCATGCACCTTCTGAAAAATCTTCCCTGGGAAATTTGATTCTAATTTTTTCTTCTTTTCATCTTTTCTCTTATGTATGTAGTTGAGTGGGTACACAAGTCAGCAAAGGAACTATAAGGTTCATCACCAGTATGTGTCAGTTAAAGCTACAAGAATATTTGGATAGGTGTCTTAAGGATGTTGTCATTTGAGGAAATGCTTGTCTACAGGGCATGTGTGTAATATCCTTAAGTAGCTGTCAGGAGTCCAACTACCAGGAGTTGCTGAGAAAGCAGTCAGACTTCCTAATCTCACACGTATTTCCCAGCACCCCGAATTATTTTGTTTAAAGCAGACACCTGAGTTTCCAATTTGACATCAACTGAGACTCTTGTAATCCCTGTTTAATCCAGAGGTCTGCCAAGGACTGCAGGCGCCGCAAAACCAGTGATCAGCCGTCCAACCACAGCCAGAATACAGAGAGCAGCTGTTCAACACCAGAGTCAGTGCAGGAGCTCTCAGATGATGATGGCAAGTATTTGTGTATCACTGGGTCAGGCTTTAATGTTCTTCCCTTTGTACCTTATTCCTCGAGCCAGCCCTGGGACATTTCCCAGCCCAGTTAATACCATGAGCCAACAGCCCACAGGCAAACACACAGAATGTTCTCCATTTCTGTTCTCTGTATGTATTGCCACTCTACCTTACACCATCCATGCCAACAAGGGCTTCCCACTCCTGGCACAAACATGTTGAAAAAATAGACTGACATTCCAGTCAACAGATAGGAAACAGCCCTTGCAATTCTCTTTTCTCTGCTTTTGTTAGAGGTGACCTTGAATGTTTCAGAGATAGGGGCAGGTGCGAGCACTCCATTCTCCTCCCCTCAGCTGGGGAGCATGCTGCCAAAATTGCCTGAGAGCTGACTGAGAAAGGGCTCTAAGCCAGTGTCACAGGACTTGTTCCAGTGACCTGAGTCTTCAGGGTGGAAGATTCTGTTCCCTGTCTCCTTCTCCCTGTGTTTCTTCCTGAAAGCATCCCCCTGGCTGTGACAATTAGATCACAGCCAGCCGCTTGCTGGGTGAATCTGTGTTGTGTTTCATCACTACCACTAGAATGGTGATGCAAAACATAATTCTCCTTCAATACTTTGCCACAGGGTTTGAAAGCCTGTGTGCTCAGTGTGGGAAAGAAATGAATCACCTGAAGGAAATTCACTCAGCCGTCTTATCTCTACAGAGAGCCCAACAAGACATACACAGGTAACTATTTGCTGTCATCAAATCAATTATTTTAATGGGCTGAAAATAACCTGTGGCGTTTAACTCCTCACTGTGGCCTTTGGAGGGTCTCTATCAGCTGCTGGAGTGCATTTAACAGTCGTTTCTATAAGTAACCAATTAGCACACAAAGACAAACCCATTCCCTGCTTGAAACAGTGAGGAAATCCCTTCCTTTTAAGTCTTTATGGCCAAAACTCTTCACCTCAGCATGTTTCACACCTCATGGCATTCCAGACTGCAAAAACAGCTGCAGAAGTTGGGAGGGGCTGGGCCGTGTCCTGGCTACAAATAAATCTCTGCTAGCCAAAAAGGTGTGAGGTCTCCCTTCTTGTTTCTGATTTCCTTGGTTTTCTGTAGAGATGCAGGCGTGTGGTCTGAAAAACTGGACTCCATGGTGAAAAGCACTAACTTCCCACATTTTGTTTAAATGGCTAATTGCTGTCTGAGGGAAGTAGTGACCACACCTGCTGCTGACAAGCAGCTTTGCCCTGCAGACACCTGTAGCCGGGACAGGGGAGTTATTAACTGCTACATCTGCTCCAAGGAGCCCTGCTGGTTCCCCACTGTGTATTATCCAGCTCTCCTGAGGCTTCACTGTGGTGGGATCACACATGAGGCCCACCATTTCTAGATGCCAGAGTCATTGGTGACATGGCTTTGGCTTCTCTAGCTCTTGGGGGTGTCCAAGGCAGGCTCTTGTATTTGGGAAGTATAGGGCATAGGATTATGAGTGCTGAATAAAGTGATTTCTTGGGTTTTGTGCCCTTACACCTTCCAATGCCAATCAGCATGCTCTGCCTGATCGAACTCTAGACAGAAGTACTAATCTCTCTGTTAGAACAAAGAGGGAGGTAGAGTCTGTGGGGGCACAGTGCTGTACCTGTGAAGGTGTCTCCCTCCTTATGTGGAAGTTCTGGGCATGTGCACACGTGTGAATGCACACCTCCCTCCAACCCACAAATAATCGTACTGCTTTCTTTTCCAGAAACCTCAGTGCTCTGAACAAAAAGTCCTTCCACAGGAAGGCCTCTTCTGAAAGCTTCCTCCTGGACTCTCGCTGTTGGTTTCTCCTCTGCATCTTTCTTACGTGTCAACTATTCATTAATTATGTCTTCAAATAAAATCACTACGTTTGGCAGCAATAATGATTACTGGCTGCAGGAGGGGGGCCCCTCGCGCAAGGAGCCCAGAGAGGCACCAAAGCACTTTAGAACCAACGCGGCAGAGGTGGAAGAAAGTGGAAAAACGAGGTTAAAAAGGGACCTAGGAACCTGCAAAACTTTGTTCCTGCAGATTTTGTCATTTTTGCCTTTTACATGTACATCTTCAAGGACCTCTTAACCTGTACGGGCCTTAATGCTGAAGCCAAATGTAGCTTTAATTGTGCAATTTGTTTTCTATGTCTTGTCATTTTCTGATGCAATTATTAATTACCCAGCAGTATTGGTAACCCCAAAATGGTAAACACCCCAGTGTTTTGGAAAGGTCACACCGGCCTGGGTCATAGCTCCAGGAGTGAGGGAGTGCAGTTGGGGAGCTGTAAAGAATTGATGTCCATGGTGCCTGTCCGGCTGCCTTTAATTAATTATGGGAGGGAGCACACTTGGTCCAAAAATCCACCCCCGGGATATTAAGTCATGATCTGTTTTGTCACACACAGAATGAGACCTCAGGATGTGTTTTATTTTCCATTCCACAGGAACTGTAAATATGCACAATTTCCTAGAGCCATTCCTCTTTAGGAAATGGGAAGTATTCAGTGAAAGCTCCTTGTTTGTTTGCGGAGCTGACTGGTGTACTGGATCTGGCCCATCGAGTGTAACGTCAGATATGCCTGTTTGTAAAATCTGGTCACTTACTATTATTGTTATTATTTGCTATATGGCTGTTTTATAATATCACACACTAGCATTGTAGAGAGAAATCCACTGCCCCAGCATAGGTGAGAAGGATGGGAGAGATATAGGCGTATGTGTGTTCGGTCTTAGGCACATTTTTCGTCAAAGGTCAGGAAAGAGAGAGGGTTTTGCCACTGCATTGTTCAACTCTGTTAATAGTCTTCCTATTTTACACCATTTTTTAAAGATTTGCAATATTTTCTGTAGACTGCGGACAATACTAAGCCTTTCTTTTCTGGCCTGAAGTAGTTCCAAGTGGTAAGTACTGCTATATATACAGCCTTAAAATACTTAGTGGTGGTGCCAGTCTGGGCTATCTTTCAATGTAAATGTTTCCAAATTTTTAAGTACATTCCTCGTCATACTCCCCAGTTAGGGGACACCTGTTTGTGCTTGATATGTTGAAATAAAACTACACACAACTTTCACTGACGGTCTATCTGACAAATTATTTTTGGCTTTGTATTTGATAGTGTTTTACAAGTAAATCACTTTTTAGAGGAAAGTCTACAGGAAAAGGCCTCCAAGAATCTCAGACACAGGCCATAAGTTAGAACAGCAATAGCATTTTGATACCCCTCTGGCTGAAATTGTTTGTGTCTTCTAGTTGTAGCAACTTCCTCAGAAAGAAAAGTGGTTGCCCTTGGTTTTCACTGTTGTACATGTAAATGTACAGACTTGTCTTGGATTTAGAAAACCTTTATATTAAGGAGGTGACTTGATGACAGCAAATAGATACTTCCAGGAAGAGAACCACAGCTCTCTGACATGGACAGGATGAGAGCTGGCATCTGGAAGCCGTCAGGGAACTGATCACAAATAATAAAGGGTGAGTGACTCTTGTTAGCAAAAGTCTCCAGAAAACCAAAGGATTCTTGATCCTTGAGGAATCATACTTCAAGAATGTCAACATTATTGATTCAGATTGGGTGTCTTTTTGAAGGACATCATCCTAGTCACCCTTTCTGAGGAAGTCTGACCTGTGCCACGGATAAAACACCCACCTCTGGCTGTCAGGCTATGCAAAGTCCTGTATGCACCTTGAAAGTGTTCACTGTGCAAACACATCTGCTAATATCCTTTGAATGCTTCAGCAAGTCAGCACATCTCTGGCCTGTCAGCACAGCTTTCCTCATCACACACATCCTGCTTTGGAATTATTTGAGTTAAAGATAGGAACCTCTCTGCTTCTGTAGGGCTATTTACATCTCTTGGATACAACTGTGTGTGGGTTTGAGAAATGCTTACTAAAACAACAACAGGGAAAAGAAAACAGCCCATGCCCACCTGAACCAAAGAGAAGCAGTGCTGAGACGAAGCATCCAGTAGGTGTAAATGCAAAGGCTTGAAATTGTTTGGATCATTTCCATTTTACCAAGCTACACATCCACAGGGATTTCACTGGGACTTGTTACCGCAGTTAAGTAAAACACTTGCCACAAAAGGAGCAATTCAGTGAAAGAAATTATCAACTTACATAAACTAATTATGCATGAGCAGAGTAGGAGTTTCCAACATTTACTGCTGCTGCCACAGGGTATTAAAAATAATCAAAAAGGAACAGTCTATAAATCCTTGTGCCATTAATTTTAATCCAATTTCAACATCTTGAGGTGAATGTTCACACTGGATACATGCACATGGAAGATAAAGAGTATTCTTGAGGAAAATCACGTTCAGAAATGTTATTTCTCTGGGAGGAATATCTGCTGGGGGAAAAGCTGAGAACCAGTTCAGGGCGTTAGAAAACCCAGTTTGTGCGTCGTTGGGAAAATTCCCCGTCCCTCCTTCGGCCCTCCTTTTCGTGATCAGTGAGCAGCCCGTCAGCGCGCGAGCTTTTTTGGGTGGAGGGGCACGGATCGCGCCGTATCCCAGCGTGGATTCTGCCTGCTCTCGATAGGTGCAAAGCGTGTTACCGGGGCGGTCCCAAAGCACAGCCTGGTTTCCCTCGGCTCCGTGGGGGGGGGGGCACGACGCCCCTGGGACGGGTCGCTGTCCGGGCGGGGGCGGCCGCCCGCGGGGGCGGATAAAGGGGCAGAGCCGGCGCCTCCCCCTGGCCGTGCCGAGCGGAGGCAGGACGGGCAGTGCCGGGCCGGGAGCTGCGATGGCAGCCGGAGGAGCGGCGGGGCTGCTGCTGGTGAGTGCCGAGAGAGGGGCTCTGGCCGGGCCGCAGGGTGGGAGTCTCTGGCCGCTGTCTGCAGGCAGGGGCTCGCCCTCAACCTGTCCGCCGCGAGTGGGGGCTGGCACCTGTCCGTAGCCAAATCCCTCCTTTTGACGGGAAAAGAGGCTTCCTCCAAGTCCGGAGTGGAGGAGCCTTGCAGGTTGTCCTACCCTCCTCTTCCTCAAGAGACTTTAGTAACTTACCTGAACTTTTTGTTTGTGTTGCTTGAAACTTCGGGGATCCTGATTACGTGGGTCTCCTAAACCTGAAAAGGACAAGGAAGGGCAGCTGCTGTGAACCCAGCCCCGGGTTGCGGGGAACCCTCTGAAGCGAGTAAGGACTAGTGACGCGTTCTCCGAGTCTCTCCCTAAGGCAATTGCTGCCGCCTTCTCTCCTCGGAAAAAAAGAAAATTACAAGTCAGGAGTGAGCTTTTTAATTGTCTTTGGTGAAACTGTGAAACTGGAAGTTTCCTGAACTACGCGATTACAGGAAAGACTTTCAGTCTCCCAGGGAGAGAGTTGAAAGAGCGCAGCTGCGGGAGCTGAACTCTTGATTTCAGCTTGGAAATTGCCCGCTGATGGCAATTAGCGGCGAGGAGCTCCGCGGCTGTCCCTTCCTCTCTCCCTGCATCTGTTCTAGGACCTTCTCTCTCTTACGGTTTACAAGTGAGGGATGTACTTCGGTGTCTCGAAACCGAGCTCCGCGCTCGCCTACCTGCGAGGCACTCAGGGTGTGTGCCCCGCGGGCCTGTTCCTCTTAAAAAAAATTAATAATAATAAACATATGTAAAAATATATGTGTGTGTGTAAACATTCCCAATGCTCCTGTGGCTACAGTAAGTTATTTTTGTTAATGACTCAACTTGCCTTCTGCTTACGATTACAGTGAGAAATGCTGGATGAGGTCTCTGGGGCGTATCCTCCATTTTGCGGGGGGGGGTGGGGGGGTAGAAGACTAACACTGATCCCCATGAATTAAAAAGATGGGAGGAGGGAGAAACGAATGCCTTGAATGTGGCAGAAACTTAGGCTTCTGAAGTTCCATTGCAGTGAACTAGTGGAAAGAGAACAGAATTTTAAATGGAGTTAGGGATCTGCGGCAATAGTTGTCTAAAACCCATCAGCTGCTGCACGGTGGTGCTTTAACCCCAACTTTGTGATTGCAATTACTGCTATGAGCAGCACTTAGCAGAAATTAGTTTGGGTTTCCTCTGTGGCTTCCCATAAACTTCTGAATGTGTTTCCAAGTCTTTACTGGTTCATCTCCCTGAGATGGTTATCATGTTCTGGGAGGATGATTCACTCAAATGCCTGTTTGTCTTTTCTGTAGGTTATGCTGCTGACAATGCCTGGAACCAGAGCAAAGAACTGTGAAGAGGGAGAGTACTTCCATGAAGGACACTGCTGTGTATCTTGTCCAGCAGGTAAGACTTTGAGAAGCTACAGCTGATAATGGCCATGTTTCTTTCTCATGGAGATGACTGATCACTATTGTTTTTTACGGTTTCATCTGGTGAAAGTGTAAGCCCATCTGGAGCTGTGATGGCTTCTTGGGGCTGTTAAGGCTGGGCTCCATTTTGAAGCAAGAGTCCCTTGTGTGACAGGTGATGACTGGGAGAGGTGGCTTGGCAGCAAGCCAGGAAGACTCTGCTCATGGTTGAAAATAAAGTGTTCAAAATTGGGTATTGTTTGGTTTGGTTTTTTGTTAACAAAACACTTCAGTTAGCACAAAGAACAAGCCATGAGGAATTGTGGTATTTCTGTGTCTGTAGGTAAATCTTGGGTTTGGTTTTGCTCTCCCCTCCTTGCTCAGTGTGTGCAGAGTTAAGGAGTTTTGTGTTGAGAAGTACCCTGCCCCTAGAGAGTATCAGAGGGCTATTTAGAGGTAATTCAGAGAAAGGAGAAGAATAGTTCTTACAAGCAGTTCTCTCTGTGCTCATCAGCTCCTTCAGAGATGGTGCTGGCCATATTGCTAACTCTAAGCTGTTGCAGAGAGTCATCCTTGTCCCCTGTGTGTCCCACCAGAGGCCTGGCTGTGTGCCTCGTTTGGCACCGCTCCTTGTCTGAGCAGCAAACTGGGAATATGCCTCCCGACTCTCCTGTGCTGGTTCATGTGGCACATGATTCATTTGTGAGGAGGGGTTGGACTCTCCTCAAAATGGGTTTGTGTTGTAACATCCTGTTATAGCCCTTTGTCTGTTTAAAAGATCCCTTGAGACTGCTGCTGCCGGTTCTCTTCTTCCACAGGTACTTTTGCTGCTGAGCACTGCAGTGTTCCACATTTGAGAGGAAAATGTCACCCTTGCAAGGAAGGAGAGAGTTATACCGCCCATGAGAACGGCTTGGACGAATGCTTGTCATGCAGACAGTGCAAAGATGGTACCGAGCACGATTTTGATGAAGCCTTAACCCTTTCCCCTTTTTAATGTGGAAAATCTGATCCTCATTGAGCATATTGAACTTAGAAAGAAATTGCCTTTATGATATGAGTATAATTTTTGCACAGTTGTAGAGTCTCATCTTTTATATTTACTTTGTAATTTTTATGTTTTATTTTTTAGATCAAGTAACTGTGAGACCCTGTACCCTGACACACAATACTGAATGCGAGTGCAAACAAGGGTATTTCTGCACTGACAAGAGCTGTGAAATATGTCAGAGACACAATAAAATGTAAGTTTGATAAAGAATATAAGTGACTGTTTTCTTTCTAGGGAATGTTAGACCTGTGGCCCAATCAGTGCCAATAGCTAACACATGTTATCTGGCTGTAAATAATTGCCCTGAAGCCAAGTGGTATTACTCATGCATTTAAATTTTAGGTCTCAAAATATGTGAAGTTGAGACCTAAAAAGAGACGAACTTGGGTATTGTTGTGCTTGTTGCTTATGGCTGCAAGCTTGCACTTTTCATGTCTTCAGATTAGTATTTCCCCAGGTACACACTTGAATAAGCTTTCTAGCACCCAGTCAAAAATTTTGGGAAGTAGAACTACCTGTTGAAGGCAACTAACTGCATGAATAATGCATCTACTGTGGTTTGGTTTTTGCATTCCCCCCCACCACCACCACTTACAAGCTAACATACTTGAGCTTTATCTGCTCTGCTTCTATTTAATCTTGTAGTACTATCTTGCGTTGTTTAAAGGTGCACTTCTAACTAAGTTATCTGTTTATGCCTCTAAGCTCTGCCTGAAAAAAGTCAGGTCTATACAGAGCTGCATGTTGCTCTGGAAATGTTGATACAACCCTGTGTTGCCATCCACTGCAGGTATCCGGAAGGCAAAGAAATCGACCGGAACTGCAATGCTACTACGGGCCTAGGATGTGACTTACCGAATCAAGGTCTGGTACAGAAATCCCACTCAGCTTGGTTTGTTGGGTCTGTGGCTTCAGGCTAATAACACCATAGCAGTCTGTAAAACAGTGGTTTGAACTACTGTAACATATTTAACAGCTTCTGTGTTTTAGTCTGGGAGTTACTTGCTAAAGACAAACTCTCAAAGGCATTGGAGTGACAAACCATCTTAAGTTTCACTGGGTGAAAAGCTACACGTGTTGCCAGGGTTTTCGAAGTTGCAAGGGTGATACTGCTGAAAGTTCTAGATATGTTTCCTATGCCTGAGAAGCTGTGTATGGAATAGCTTTCTCTTCTGCTGGTAGATAGATGGTGTCAGTTCAGTCTTCCTCTGGTCTGGCAGAAGCTATGTTACAGCACCTCAAGCTTGCTGTCATGTTTTGCATACTTGTTTCTCCTTTAAAGTGTCTGTCTGGAAGACCTTGTAGAAGTTGTGTTGCGGGTCTATGCAGAATCCCCTGCTGCCTTTGGGGTAATGATGTGCAGTGCAAACAAGTGCTTGCACATTCAGGTCAGCTGAAATTCCCCAGTGCCTCTTCCAGGACCAGCTAGCAGGGTTGTTGTATTAGTGCTGGGCTTAGGCTGTTTTCTAGGACAGCAAGGAATATCTTTTTGGGGGGCTGCTTCAGTACTAATTTTATTTCTTTTTCCTTCACAGGAAGCACAGCTCTTTCTTGGATTATTCTTCCAATCATTTTGGTGGTTGCTATGGTTTTGCTGTTCTTGGTATTTAAAAAGTTGAAGTGTGATAAAGGTAACTACTTGATTCTTATCCATAAAATTTGCTTTCCAGAATTAGGTAAGGCATGCGCTAGGGCTATCTCTGGGGTTTGTGTTACTTTTATAGGGGACCTTTTTAAGCTCTAGTTCACTTAGCATGTGATTGAAGAAGAGTAGTTTTGTTAAGTAAATAAAATGCATAAACCTTAACTGACCGTCCTTATTTTGCCGACAGATGCCTTTACTTCAAAGCAAGATTATAATTAGGTCCTTAAAAAGGACTTTTCATATCTACTTGCCTTGTATTGGCAAAGACAGAAACCTGTGTCAGCTCAGATGCATGGTGCAAAAAGTAGCAACTAATTAGTTCATTAACTACTTTTGTTCTCTTCATTTGGATGTGGAGATTTTTCTACAAATTGTTGCCCTTTCATCATTTCAGCCTCTTAATGAGGGTGAACGTTAGGTTGATAAGTCCTGTGTGAATTTATTCTTTTAGTGAAATTGAGCTGTTTTCCTTGGAAATTTCTTTTTCCACTACTGTGTATTAAGGTGTTTTTGCAACTAGTGTAGTTAGAATAATGTTAAAAATTGGTCTGAATTTTGAATGCTAACTTTGTTCAAATCATGCTTTACCAATTGTATTGCAGTAAAAACAATTTCTATCTTTTCTGTATTACAATAGCCCACAAAAATGCTGCGTAAGCTGGAGTGGGGGAGCATGCAAGAGTGACTTAAACTTGTCATCTTCTTGTCTGCATTTTACTAACTGGGACTCTTCTCTCTATGAAGGCACAGTGTTTGTGCTGTTGGTGGAAGCTAAGAGTAGGTCATGAAATGTATGACATTAAGGAAACTTAATGACTTGTAAAAGTTTTGGTTTGTGTTACAAAAGTTTCTATTGTGTATAAATCTTGCGTGAATTCATCTATGTTTAAGTTGCTGCAGTTCTTAAAAGTTTCTTAGACACTTATTTTGTTTTTCAGCTGCTTCAGCTGATAAAGATGTGGAGAAAAGTCTGGTAAGTTGTGATAGATCAAATGTTTCATCTCAGTTTTGTGCAGTTTAATTGTGCACTGCTTAATTGTACTTGATGCACAGCCCTCAATGTTTGTCTCACTGTAGACCTCCAGTAGGATGTGTTCCTGTGATGCAAGAAGTTGTGATTCATACAGGGCAGATATTAGCAAGGGCCCGATTAGCTGCATGTGTCTGCTACAGTTGGGCTTTCCAATACTTCCCTTGGAAACACTTCAGAGCCTGTGACCAGGATGTTTTGAAAGTGGAAAAAAATTAGACTAGCTTCAAGCTTTCACTTCAGACTGTCTCCAGATGATATCTTGATCCAATTTAGTTTTTTTGCTCTTTCACATGTGTTCTGCACTCAGTGTCAGCTATCAGTTACCTGCATGGTGGTGTTCAAGCTTTTATTGCAATTTAACAAAAAAATTATTTGTTCATAAGACCTACTACTCTTGGTCCAGTAAAGTGACTGAGCCTTCCTGCCTTTGGGCTCATGTCAAAAGCTACAGACCAGAACAGTCTAACTTTTGGGCTCTAAATAGTCCCATAAGATGAGGGATTTGGGGCTCAGAGCATGCCAGTTCCAAAGTGCATCCCTAAAAATGGTTTACCAAGCTAAGGCTGGCTGCTAGCATGTGTTCCACTGTAAAGCTGGATATACCCTGGCCTGCTGTAGTCAAACATATTTCAGAACTTTACTGTTTCATTACGAAAAAACTCCACTACTGCTAATCTAGCATTTTGCAATATAAATACAAAATTAGCTTGTATTTACCTAGTCTAGCTTTAGCTTCTCTAGTTAGAACCTATACCCCTAACAGCACTCTGAGGCAAAAATTAGCTCAGTCTTAGCAGTAGTTAATGATGTGTAGTGCCAAGGTGTAAAACTAATCTTAGTCTTGATGAGGATCTAAGAAAAATATCCAGATTACTCTCATAGCATGTGTAAAACACTACTTCTCCCTGCTGCTTTTCTTGTCCTCCTCCCAATACACTACTCACCCAGTGTGTGAGCTCATCTAATGCTACCAATTAGACATTTTGAGCAATTAAATGCATTTCAATTATGTAAAAAATACTTGAAGACTGAAGAAACAGAATTGAAAGATGTGTTTAAAAGTATCACCTTAAACTCTGCTCTCTTTTTTAAGGTCCGTAAGTGGCTCAAATATGTCGATCACCTACACTTTTTTGCTCGGTTGTCTCCCCCCACCCCTGGCCAGATTTGCAGTACTTCATGTATTTGTAGAAGCTGAAGGCAGAAAACCTACAGCCAAAAAGCTGTAGCATAGGAATAGACAAATATAACATCTCTTTAATTTGAATTAAAACGTAGTAGAATAATGCAATTACATGGAGACACTTAGCTCTCGTGTAAGAGCTGTCACAGACTTGAGATGGAGTGTCTGTGCACTTGAAATGTTCATGCTGCTGTAATAGCTTATTTGCTAAGGAGAGTTACACTGATAGAATTCTGAGACCAGGTATTTTGGCACCAACACACTGTCCTTTCCAAAGTACCAGTGAATTTATGTGGCTCTGAAAAAAAAATCCCAACAATTGCTAGTACTTTGATAGCTGCTGCTGTATTTTGAAACAAAATGGTCAGCTGTGCTATGTATTTTCAGTCACTTGGCTTCCTATTTAAGAAATATGCTTTATAAAAAAGATCAATTTCTTTAACCTGTTTACACCCTTAACAGAAAGTGTTTTCAATGAGAATGATGTACAACTACATGTGTGATGTGTGGGGAGGTTCCCTTCACATCCCTGCTTATGCATGTTGGTCATATGGTGGTGTCACACGTGGGTCACTGACCTTGTGCAAGCAGAAACCACACTGGCTTATGCTCACAGAGGCTGTACCTTAAAAAACACACGTCTCATGGGAAGAACAGTTACTCTTCACCCTCATTTTCCACATCTTAAAAACAATATTCCTAAAGCTTTCTGGTTTTAGCACTAGCTGATATGTTAGATGCTAGTCTGCTTTGTACTTGTACTGTTCATGATGAGTTGGGGCTGTGCTCCCTGGCATATGCTTTAATGAACTGGCAATGCTGAAATGGATGCAGCCTTCCTTGGTTGCTTCCCTCTTTGTCTCCTCACAAAAGCTATGTGATGTGCACTGGTGCTCCCTGGTTTCTTTCAACTGATTCCAGTTTGTGAATCTGCCAGAAAAGTTAATCCAGCCAAAGAAAGCCTAAACTAGTGCACTACATGGAGCTGATAGGCTATAATCAGCTTGGCAAAAGTTGTGAGAGCATCAGCCTTGACATAGCAAGAGGCTTGAGGCCCCTGTTGCTGTTAAGTCAGCTCAGGTGAAGCAAGGCAATTTAATTTCCTCCTAACTTACAAGAGGTGCAAAACTTCTGTACCTAGAGAGGAGCAAGAGAAATCCCACATCAGTAAGAACATCAGGAAAAGTTTCCTGCATTTTTTGTGGAGGTAGCCTGTGAGCCTTACCCCACAGTCCAGTGGGAGCAGAACAGACATTAAAGTGAAGAGCTGGGCTCTAAAACCATTTGAACTCCAGTTCTGTGAAGGCTGTAACTTTGCCATATTAGCAGGTCTCCTGTTATTTCTCTATCTGGTGGTTTCAGGTGTTCTCTTTTCTTCCCCTAGACTGTCTTTGTAGACCTACCTATGAAACATCTCTTAAAGTATGTTCTTATTCTTTACAGAAGTCTGAGGGTGGTAGTGAAAGCCTCATTTTGCCAGAAAGGAAGACACCTGCATCTGCAAATAACTCAGTGAACCCAAAGGATGAGAACTGTGGTGAGAGCCCAGAGAGCCAAGAACAAATCAATATTAACTTGGAAGTAGAAGACACATCACCAGAGGAAGATAGTGCACTTACTGAGCAGGGCACCATCCTGCATGGGGACTGGAAGCACCGTATGCTAAGGTGGTTGAGGAGGATTCCTGAGTCTTCATTACAATCAAAATCTGGCCAGAATTCTGCTTTTCATCAGAATAACCTATCTAATGTATCAAGTATTAGAACACCAGCAAATTGTGTGGTAAGTGTGTGTATGTGAAATTATCATGATTTCTCTAATACATGTGTAATTTCAGTTCCATTTTTAACTATTTCTTGAGTTTTCAGGCAGAATGATAGAGGAGACTTTGCATTAAAGATGTAATAGAAAGTATGGAAAGTGATATCTTGGGAAAGCAAACTTCAATCCCTTACGTTTAATTTACTCTGCCTCTTTCATCTCCCTGTCAAAATGTACATAGAAGCTGCTCTGTAGCAAAAGCAGCAAATGTGTTGCCTTGTTGCTTCACTTCAGAGCTGTTTCATCATGCAATTTTCTTTACTCAAATACTTTCATCTGTGCCGTGAAACGTTGTTTCCCTTCCCAATGGTGAGTGTGCTGTAGAAGCAAGCTGTCAAGTAGGTCAAGAATAATTGTAAGTGAACCACCCTGATATGTTGGAGTCATGGTCCAACTTTGTATTACAGGTACGAGAACCAGAGCATCGAATAATTGTTAAAGATCTCTCTCAAAAAGGTAAGTGTTCCATAAATTGACAGTACTTGGAATTTGGTTTTGTTTCCTGTTGACTAGTCTACTTAAAGAATAGTGTAGGGAGGCTAATGAATACTGCTTAGAGTTATAAGGCTTTTAGTAAATTGTAAAATATGCTGAAACAGGATTATTGCTACACTTGAGAGAAGTTGTAATCCCTGTGGTGAATTGTTCTACTTTTAAAGCATGACTTTTCTGCACAGGGAGCCATGATTTTAAGAATAAGAATGGTACAAATTTTTTTAACAAATATTTTAAAACAAGGCTGCACTGCAGCAGTGGACTCTGCTTTAGTGAGTGGGGGGTAGGTCAGAGCAGGAAATCTTTCTGTCAAATGTCCACTGACATGGAAGACTCCATCAAATCCCCATACATCTACCTGTACCCAGCAAATTGTGCTGGATGTCCAAGAGATGGGTTTTTCTCATGATGGCCTTGGGGTGGCAAACCTATGGTTGAAGCCTACTGTTGAGTAGCCCTGTTAAGCTAAAGTGCCAGGCAGTGAAGCATTCCTCAAAACCACCTTTGCTGAATGGTGTCTTAGGAGACTTCTTTTAAGATATATAGACCAACAGACCTTCAGCTGTCTTTACAATCTCTTAGTAAGGAAACCTGGTGCTCCTTAGGTGCCAAACCTGGCCTTGCTGCTGCTGTTCGGTCTGTGCAGGCGTTGGCTGAAAATTAAAGGGAAAGCATGTACATTAGCTATGAAAAAGAGAATCTGTGTCTTAAAACCCAAGCTGACGTGTGTTGTTTTTTCTTTCAGAACGGAGAGTTTGCTTTGAGGCCTTTATAAAGGAAGTACCACCAAAAAACTGGAGGCAGCTTATGAGAACTCATCTGCATGACAATGATATTGATAAAATTATTTATAACTTTGATAATGATATAGAAGAACAATCCTATCAGATGCTTCTCATCTGGAGAAACACACTGGGAGAAAAACAGTGCATTATTAAGTTACTGAGTGAGTTGAAGCATATAGATAGGAAGGCTTATGATAATGTAGTGAACACTTTAAAAAGTAATAACATTATAAGTAAAGCGGAAGCTACAGATAAATGTTTATGAGGAACTTGAGAAATGCTCTTGTGTACATACATGTGTCTACAAACTTCTGTTAAATGAGGACATCAACAAGCTCCAGTAAAAGTGATGGCATGGACTTGATATCCTCCTCACCTCATGTGGAGAGCTTGGAGGGATTTAGCACTGTCGGTGTTTACACGGACTCCGGTTGTGATATTCACTAAGGTCTTTTGAGTTGTACAATATTGAACTCAGGCGCCGGATGCCTGCTTGGGAGCGAGGGGCTCTTGCTTCCCTTTGTGTGTGGCAGTGCCGTGCTGTCCCAGCCTGTCTGGCGGGAACAAAGAGGCTGCTGCTGCTTTTGAGAGTATGTGTGCTTTGGTTTCTTTGTACAGTTTTGTTTTGTATCGGTCTGCTTAGCACCGTTGTGTTCGAAGCACGGCAATAAAAGCCTGGTTGAGAGAGAAGCAGGGGTTGACTCTTGGACTTCTTTCGGGTGGTGGAGTCGCCGTCCCTGGAGGTATTTAAGGAAAGCCTCATTGCCATGCTCTAGTTGGCACGGTGGCGTTCGGTCGTGGGTTGGACTCGGTGACCTGAGAGGTCTTTTCCAAGCTGACGGATGCCGCGGGTGCCCGGGGCGGGCGATGCCGCGGGAGGGCGGGCGGTGCTCCCGGTTGCCCCGGTGACGCGGGGCTCCCGTCGGAAGTAGCGTAGGGCGGGCGGGGCGAGGCTTCCGGACGCGCTGTTGCATCAGCTCGGGAGCGAGGGCAGGACGAGGCACCAGGATGGCAGCAGCGGCCGCCGCCGAGCACGGTAGGTCGGCGACCGACGCCGCGGAGCCCCGGCGGGGCCAGGCGGGGGGTCCGCCGGGGTTGTCACGGCCCGGCGGCGGTCGGTGTCGCGGCCCCGCCGCTGTCACGGTGTCAGGTGGGAGATGGGGGCGGTGGGGCGTCGCCGTGGTCGCCTCCTTCACGCGTCCCTTGAGATCTGCATCCCTTGGCGCCTGCGGTGGGGGGTCCCTCCCGGGGCCCTCCAGGGCGCGTTCGTGGGGACCCCACTGCCGCAGCCCCCCGAGGTGCCTCCGCGCCCGTCCCGTGGGTGCCCGTGGGATGCGGCTCGTATCGTGCCTCGCCACGAACGTAAAGGTTAATGCTGACACGCAGTGATTTGTGGAAAAAAACCTCGGAGCTTCTCGGTACTGAGGGTTGGAAACAGCTGTTCTGCAGCTCGATGGGTTCCGAGAGGTATTTCGTGGCTGCCAGACCGCTCGGGCTGTGCGCCTATCGCCGCGTCCTCTGTTCTCTTTCACCTGCCCCTGTGTCTCCCTTGCTGTCTTTCCAAGTCATCACTGTTCTCCCTTGAACTCGTGTCTGAACTTCTTAACTTTTCCGGATATTTTCTTTGGTCATGGTTTAATGACGGGTTCTACTGCTCACTTCCATATGGAAGGAGGGCTAGGGTAGTCCTGTAATTTTTGGCACTACCGTAGCAAATAGAAACTTGGAATACCAGTCATGCAAGTATGAAATACCATTACGGTGTGTAAAGGGTTGGAAATTTCTGTCATTCCAGTTAAGGAACTGTAAATTCAAAGATTTTGCTCCTTTTCCTTTGCTACTGGAAGTTACTTTGCCCTCTGTTCATCAAAAGTAACACTCCCATTAAAGTGAAATATGTTTTCAAGGGATTGCCTTTTTAGAAGTGTTTTCAGTATCTTAGGAGGAAAAAGAACAAAAACACCAAAGACTCAGTTCAGGTGCCCTTTAAGAAACTTTTTAATTGAGTTTATAATTAGGCAAATAGCTTTTTCTTCTTTCTTTTTTTTTTTTTTTACCTGCAATGGCAATTGTTACATTTAGTTTCAGTTCAGGAAAAGTGGAAGTGAAACTGACGGGGCTCAAGTGACTGGGACTGACAAGCTCTTCCTCCATGTGGGATACCCCAGTCTTAAAAATCTCTGCTCAGCCAAAAGCCTCTTGAATCTCACGTGTGAGTCTTGATAAGTCCTTTGTCTCTCTGTCTGTCTGTGCTGTGTCTGGCATAGATGAAGTCACTGCACTGGTTTGGTGGTTCTGAAATGTTTATGGAAAAGGATAATTCATCTTGGCTGAGCAAATAATTGGAATTCCTTCTGAAGGTACCAGAGTGGCCAGCTAGAATAATAAACGGCCAATTTGGAGACATCTTAATAATGAGGCTTGTTACATTTGTCTTTTCTGTGTTGTTTTAAATTTGTTGGAAGAGAAATTACCTAAACTAGCTAGTTACTGCCTCCTGTATGGCTTTTTGGTATTTACTTTGCTGTCAACACCTTTAAGGAACAGAAATTTTCATTTTCTAATTAATAAAAGTGAAAATTTTCCATGACAATTGATATTGTATGGTCTATATGTCTTGATTAAACTTCAGAAGGTATTTTATGTGCAAATAAAATGGAGAAACAGTCCTATGCCTTTGAGTCTGTGTGTTGCTGTGGTCTTGCAGACAAATTCCCAGTGTCCTTTAGTAGTCTCTAAAGCACTCCATGCATGGAAAGAAGAATGTGTGACAATTATATCCCCCAAAGAGATTGTACACCAGCAGCTATTTTATGAGAACTGCATTAGTTAATATCTACAGTGGAATTTTTTGGAAACAACTTGGTAATGTTTTATTGTTAACATTAATTCTTATGATTTTTCAAGGTTATTTTGCTACCTCTCCAATACTTGTTCTCTGTGCTTATTTCCTGAATGGAGTAGCTGTTGATATGATTTGATATCTATGGATCATTCCATTCACATGAGTTAAAACTCAGTGTCATGCAACGGCTCTGTAATACTCCCATGTTTCTGCTGTCAAGAAAACACTTCTTAATGCAATGGAGCAATAACAACTGTAGTTTTTCTTTAGTGGGAGTGGAAAAAAATTACAGTCAGAGAGAAAGGTGATTTCTTAGCCTGTTTTCCTAAAGCAACAGGGAAAACAAGTCAGATGTACATATATCCATTGGCCCTTCTCCCTCAATACTTTTTGAATCCATCGATTTTTTACTAATTGCATTTAACAGTGGACTGCCTCTTGCACACAGTTGGCTAACAGACTGAGCAAAGATGGGTTGGAGCTGTACAGGAGGATGGGGATACTGAAGTATATGGGAAGAGGGGATACAGCACATAGGAGGTACCAGGAAATACATCAGTTGGAGTGTGTGATGAATTAAAGGCAGTGCAAGACACTGAAGGAGGAACTGAGGGTACAGAATGGTCACAGAAAAACAAGATTTTGTAGATTTACTATTCTCGTTTTAGTAGTGATATCAATTAAATCAGAATAGGCTTTTATGTAAAAGTAGTTTTTACTAATTTCTTTTGCTTGAAAAGAAGTGGTCCACTGCTATATTGCCATCCAAAAAACAGTTACCGCAGTCATTCTTTCTTTCCAGGAGAGTACCCTGCTCTTCATGAGAAAAGCTTTGATTTTGTGAGTTCAGTCCAGTTTGGAGCTACTCACAAGAATGCCAAAAGTGAGAATGATTTTGTCCTGCATGTGCTGAAATAGGATGCTCAGAGGTATTTCAGAACTGCACTGATGGTAGAATCATAGAATGGCCTGGGTTGGAAGGGACCTTAAAGATCATCTAGTTCTATTCCCCTCCTGTGGGCAAGGACACCTTTCACTAAACCGGGTTGTTCAGAGCTCCATCCAGTCTGACCTTGAACACTTCCAGTGATGGGACATCGCTCAGCACTCTCTCAAACACAGTAACTTTGCCTGTATCTGCAACTGGCTGCAGCAGAGAGTAGAACACATTTGTCATAGCTTCAAGTTGTCATGTTCTGAAAAGTAGCTGTGGGTCTAGAAAATAAAGTTTGGAGCTCAGCACAGCCTGTGAAATGAATGTAGGACACTCAGATTGGTACAGTGAGCCTGCTGGGAGCTCGAGACTGCTGTGGCTCAGCTACTGCTGCACTCTGAGGAAACCCTGCCAACAACTGCTCAAGTGTGTTCTTGCTGTACTGCACGTGCTGTGGTGCCCAGTCATGGCTGTGAGTTTGGGCTGAATTTGAGTCAGGGATCAGTTTCAGCATAAAGACATCCTCCTGTTAGGTCCCCTGGGCTACATGAGTATTTGATGTATTAGGCTTTCAAGCCTGCTGTCGCTCTTGCAGCCAGACACAGGCCAAACTTCATAATTTCAAGTATTAATGTGTGTGCCAAGATTGCTTAAAATAATTTTGATTTGTCAGAGGTGAGCTGGTACTGATACTCACAGGCAGTATTTGCCATCTCTCCTTGCCAAAATTGGTTTGTATGAGTTCTGTCATATTTGTTGGATTTGTGTGTAAGTTTGTGCAACTTCCCTTTTAGATTGGTTTGCAGATGTGTTTGGAAAGTGCTTACATTGTTTCATATTCACTGACTTACATCCCATTAGCAGCCTGGTCTGTAAATAATGGTCATAATAACCCTAATCATATTTTGCAAATTGAGTGTTGATTTCCTTGCAATAGATCTTTCAAGATCTTTTCTTTGAGATATAGTTTCATTTCTACACAGATCATTCTTGTAATACTTTTTTTTTGGCATTCTCCCTCATATGATTCATGTATACCAAATTCACATTCAAGGAAGACTTATGTCTTAGGTTTCCAGAGTTAATGAACGTGACTATTTCAAACTATTTCATGTGTATAAACATGTGAAGTTCTGTGATGATAAACATCAGTAAATACTTAGGAGCGTGAAAAGTTTATAGTAAAATGAACTATGTGAGCTGAAACTGAATCCCATTCAGCTGGGTAAGACAAGCCCATAAGGTCTAGTTATGAACCATTATTTCCTTGTTATTCTTTATTTATACTGAACAGTTATATGGGTAGGCCTTCAGAGAGATTTTACATGAGTTTGTCTTTGCTTTTGTATATGAATTTTTTGTGAACTTCTATTTTTTAAATTGTTTTTTTAAATCATTGATCTTTTTTATTAGTTCTTATGTGCTATCTTATATCATTTATACCCAAAAGAGTCAAACAAAAACATGCTTGGTATCTAGCTGCCATTTCCACGTCATTCTGACTTGCTGTTGGATATTTTAATAATTGATTTCCATATAGAAAACAAGCTGCTCATAAAGCCTTAACTGATGATATTTGGAAAAACTTTTCAATTGTACAGTTCCTCACATCCTTTCATAGCCATCACTTCCCTGTCCCCTTCCATTCTTGCCTTTCCAAGAGCGTTGGTCTGTGAGTACCTCCAGTGCTTTAGGAACTGCTTGTGCAGATGTTCATTTCAGTGTGAGAAGCAACACTTCTGGCCATGATCTCTGTCGTGGTTTGGGAGCAGAGACAGGTGCTCTCACACTGCCTCTCTCACTTTACTGCCCTATGACCTTGACTTAAATTACCTTCTTGGCTCACTACTAAGCAGGATATTGGCTTAGTGTTTATACAGTACTTTGAACATGAACAGAACATTGAATCAT